AAAGTGGCGCGGTGTACGGTATGGTCAGAGCGGTCAAGGGTCAAAAGTTTCCAATTTAGCAAGAGGGCGCCATTCATGCCTTATTACAGAATTTGCACGCGTAAATCGCGGAGAATGTTATCTTGTGTTTATAAGATCTTTGCTTACTACAGTATACTGGGGTATGAGGTACTGCTATTCATAATTCATGCTTAATCATCCCTCTTTTAACACCATCCCACTTCAAAATTCTAATTAGCATTACATTAGAAATTCGGAACCACACTCAAATTTGACAAATATAATATAAATTGCAAATGAATTAATATTTCTTACAAATGCTCCATCTTCTAAATCTTCATTATCCTGGTGTGGTCCTTCTGATATCCAGTCTGCAGCAGCTGTTGGTACCACTGGAATGCCAGAAATTGTGATCGGAAGCAGGACATCCCAGGCACCAGAGTGTGCTGTCTTACTGATGCGGATGTTGACAAACCCCTCAGTGATACCCTTCAGATTGCAGCCAACCTGATGGTTTATGCCAAGCTGCCAAGAAATTAAAGCATTGAAAAAATTACTAAAGTATTCATATATCAGCATTCTATAGCTCTATGTATACATAGGGTAGAGTTGAAACCAGGGCTCTATGTTCTCAGGCCAGGCCTTTTTTTTTTTTTTTTGGCATTTGAGCCACCCTGTAAAATGCTTTGAAGAGTTTTAGCCTCAAAATTCAAAATTAGCTGTTACTCTAGGGAAAAAAAAACCAAACATCATAAACATATTAAATATATGGGAACAAAAGAGGCTCGCCACCGCAAAACCAGCGTACTGTCGCTAATTGTTATACCGAGTAATTAGCATAAGAATACAATACTTCTGTTCATAACTTGTGCAATAATAAGTCAATTCCAGTAAATGACCCATCATTTTACAGCTTATAATGTGGAGAATAAGAATATATTAAAAAGTCAATTATATTTTTTTGGGCGATGACGCTGGTTTTGGGATGGCAAGCCTCAAATATGAACGAATCTATAATTTTCAACAATTAGGATAGCCAAAACAACTGTGCCTTCTGTGTTCAATTAAACACATCTACCTATTACCTGTTGTATGTCATTGGATCCCCAGGCAAAGATCAGTCCTTGTTTGTCCAAAGCAATGGAGAATCCCTGACCAGCACTGACTGCTACAATAGTCTTGTCGAAAAGGCTTGCCACGAGTTGTGGAGAACGCTGAGGATTGATAAAACATGCTTTGTTTAAACAATTTTAAAATACTGAAAAGTAACAACAATATGAATACAATAAAACAATAAATGTGAATGAAATATCATAGCCGCACGATACAAAAGCTAACAATTGACAAAAAAATGTAGAAATTTACCTGGTCATTTTTATGTCCTAATCCCAACTGGCCACTATCATTTCTACCCCAAGCATAGAGCTGGCCAGAAGAAGTGACCATTAGGCAGTGGTTCTGCCCGCATTCCAACTAAAGAAGAGAATTAAAGAGGAAATTTGAAAAAATACA